CTCTTCATGGACCGTATGAAATGCTTTACGTGTCACCAGCGTTAAATCGATCGCGCTCAGGGTTTTCGGGCTCGTTTTCATTACTCTATTCGTTTGAATAGAATTGATAATACAAATAATATAATATACCTAGTTGGACTCCAAGTGGCACCGGTTTTTATGAATAAATTATATGAATCTTCTGGGAGATTAAATAATTCCAGCCTTGTAAATAAATGATGCTTTCACAGTTGACAGGTAAATTTAATGGAAATCAGTTTTAAGCTGAGATACTTTTCGGGAATATGTCTTATTTTATAACTTCGTTCTCGGTATTTCCCTTACACGATCGCTGGCAAATAACTCTAGGGTACAAGATTTTACCTCCAGGAAGGAAGAGTTTGCCACGTACTCAATTTTATACGTAGATACGAATATCACATTAAAAACGTCATATCACGTCACAGGTTTTATATATACCGTATCTTTATACCGCATCATGCCGTATTTTGCCATTAATACAAATACAATTTAATTGCGGCTGTACGATATGTAGAATGCATAAAATCTATTTTAAAACAAAATATCTGTATAGTTCAGCAATGCCATTTTCATGAGGTATCAACAAAATAAAGCTTTAGTGGTATTCTCGCGTCTGGTAGTCGCGCTTAATTAAAAGTTGGTCTTAGTGGATGTTTTGCAAACAAGTCACGTGCACCCTCTTATTTCCTACTGCGCATCAGTCACTGAAAGGAATTATTTTAGCCTCTTACCTTGTTACAAGCGTAAAACTGTTGGGGTGGACGATTTCGAGTCAGTCGGTGTCATTCGGAACTCTACCAGCAGTGCGCGTGAAGTTCGCGTCTCAAATTCGTGTGCCTCAAATACATTAGTTCTGTGGGGTTTATAAAGTGAAATTCGCTACATGATGTGTTGAATTAAATCGGCACGATAAAATGCAAATAATAATTTCACATCGAAAGTGTGCGAATCAACCCAATGATTTCTGTTACGTTTGTGGAAGATTTACACCCGAACTTCAAAAGGAAAAATATATGAAATTACCAAACTTGCGTATTCTATATAATTTTACTGTCGTGTTTATGGTCAGTGTTGTGTCGCCTGTATAACGAACCTTGTGGTTCTATGGAAAACTCAAAACTCAACCAACAAACCATTTTAATGTCTGCTACTTCGTCATCATAAAGTTATCTGATCTGTACAGATCAATTATGCACATACTTCTTCTGGCATGCGACCTGTGTCACACAATGACGAATTACCAGGGTCTATAACCCCGAAAACATGGTTAATAAATCGTGAAGAAAACTGTGATGAAACTCAATCCGTGTTTCCCCAGAAATACTCGTTGAAGCCTCCACTTTAAGATACACACTTCTTACAAGGAAAGTGTGAAACGGTTCTTAGAGCAGGAAGACCTAAATGATATGCCACGGGATCAAAATTTGTCAAAAAAAATTGGAACTGCTAGGCTACAAATGACAGTAATGGAAACTTCTTGAGGCCGGGGCAAAACATTCAAGAGTTCAGAACCAGACAGGTGGTTAGGTGGTTAATGAGTGAATTGTGAGTTCTTTATAAACAAGATGGCAGTTGTTTACAAGATGGCAGTTGTTAGTTGGCAAAACGGCAGTTGTTTATAGATTCTTCAAAATATAGTTTGATTGAAGTATAGAACAGTGAAATAATTCCACAGATGAGTAATGCAAAATCGAAGGAAGAAATTTATATCGCCCCTTAAATCTTAAAACACGTGTTGAATGAAATATGAGAAGAAAAATTCCGCGATATTGCGTTTGCAACTTGGCAATCCTTTAAGAGAGTTGTGCATGCATTACTTGAGACAAAGAAAGAAGACAATTATAAAACATTTGTCACAGAATAGTTAGAAAGCTTTAAAAATATAGGGCGTAGAATGTCTCTGAAAATTCATTCTTTCACTCCCAGCTCACTTTTTCCCGCATAATTTGGGTAATATCAGTGATGAATATGGAGCACAGTTTCATCAAAATATTGCTACAATAGGAAAGAGATATCAAGAGCGTAAGGATCCTGCAACGATATAAGTTTATTACTGGTTTCTTGTCAGAGAGTAAACAGGAATACAAGAGTAACTGACAAGGTGCAAGGCAATTTTTAGCTATCCAATAAGAATTTCTCCTTCCAAGATGTTCCAGTATTATTGCACGAATATACATATTCTATTTTTAACTCCTATGAAACATGCTCATAAAATTTTGTAGTAATATAACCAGAGTGACAATGCGGAAATTAGGATAGGGTTTTGTTTATCAAATTCTAAAATGTTCATATATTTTGAACCTTGCGTGATAAAAACTTTTTATTATGATTTTGGAAATCAGTGCGATAGTTTTCTTCGAAATCGCCTACTTTCTTCCTGGCGGTACGATTTTTTTCTCAAGTGTAATTAATGGCAGGAATATTAAAACTCACTTGCCAGTGGTAAGAATTTCTATGCTTATAGTTTTGGGAGGCAATGAGGATGGAAATAATTTCCGATATGCAGAGGCGTATCCAGAGACGAATTTTGGGGCCGGGGACATTTAGGAGACAAAGATAATATAAATTATAAACAAGGTAAATTATTAAATTATTAATCATAAAATGCTTTTAAATTAAAATATTAAATTTAGTATTTAATGAATACTTTACGGCTTTAAATTAAAAATAGTTATAACTTGTTATTAAAATCGTTTGATACAGAGCTCTAAAGCGACGAATGATTAGGGTATTATATTTTTCTTTCTATGATACAGATATAATTTTTTAATAAAAACGCATGATATCGATTTACAAATTAAACATTCGCTTAGATACAAACATTACTGTCCCGGACTGAAGAAAGTCGACAGGATGTCAGAAAATATATCTCGCAAGTCTCTTATACTTTTTCTTTTAATTAGATTTCTTTCTCTTTTCTTCTTATACTTTTCAGATATTTTCTTTCTCTTCGCAAGTAGTCTATTTAAAAACCGCGACGTCTCCAGGCCCATGAAAGAGATCCGTGCCCTATTCTTTTGTTTCGGGCACACTGTAATTGCGCGAAATGTCACAGCGGCCTATGATCACTCGCTTGGGACCTAGAGAAAGACCTTACTCCGTTATCACTGTTTCTGGTTGCATCGGACAAACGTGGAAGTCGACGTAGCAACGCTTGTCAAGTGGAGTAAGGAGAAATGAATTGTCCCAAGCCTCTGAAGAACTGTCGAAGACATTTTCCATACGTACCACTGAGCTAAAATACAGCGACATTCAGGATTCCCATTCGTAACTAAAAGGCGAAGGACAGAACACGCGGTTATGATTTCGATACATATTAGACGTTTATTTTCGTCGTTTATACATATGAGACACATTTTCCTTAAGTTCTTAATTTTTATTTTCCCTGCACTTTTACAATTTTTTTCACTGGACCTCTTTTTTGGGGAGTGGGGACATGCCCCCCTGGATCTAATACTGCGATTACATTACTACTATATCCAACTGCTTGAGTTACTCATCTGAATGTGTTTTGATAAAACAATTTACGTCGTTTTTCTTTGCTTTTATGGCATTTTGATATTTTAATATTTACATATAAGGTATTGTGTTTCATTGATCATTTTTGGGGATGTTTTAGCTCATCAAAATCCGCTCCTTAGTTATTATATTTCTCCATCCTATGGACACTATGTAAACGCCCGACTGTAAGTTGAGTGTGATCGGTATATTAAGATTGTTTTATATTCAAATGTTTTGGTCGTATGTGAAATATTAGAGTTTATGTAAAATGGCGTAGGCCAAACGCAGCTCATACTGCGATGTTATTTTATTCGGTTTATTGATTATCCAAAAATATTTGACGGAGTAGAGGGAAAATTATGTAATGTTGCGCGAAAAAACGGCGAATTTTCGGCAAAAAATCCTCTTATTACAGAGCCCTGGTAAGCAAAAAGTGGAGAATTTCAAATCCTAAATTTACAAAATATTCTCTAACACGTCGTGAACCAGAATCTATGTTTTGTGGGTCCTTGAAACCGAAAAATCGAATGACGACAAAACGTCTGCCAGTCTGTAAACAATGCTAGAGGCTAAACCGTTGAGCCGATTTTCTCCAAAATTGATATTCCCTAATCGATCTGGCCGATGTCACCAGCACTGGAATTTGAAACCGATTTTTAATATTGAGGGATACTTTACATTAATCCCTTGATACATTTTTCAATTTTCAAAACAAAAGACTCCATCGTTTTTTTGTTTTTTTTCTTAGATATTGTGGTATTCGTTGAAAATCATAATTTTTGGTAAATTGCAAAAGTTGAAATTTTTTCTGAGTCTTGTCACACCTAAAATATTAAAGATAGATTTTTTCCCCTTATTTAAATACGTTCCTTAAAGATAGATTTTGGAATAAGGTATTGTTCAAATTTTAGTACTTTTCGCGTAATTTCGCGCAGTCGCGTGAAAATATGGGCTAAAAGTGGTATTTTATTTTTGCGGAAATTTTCCGTCATCCCCCATCCCCCCGTCCCCCCCGTGGATGCGCTAGCCAATATGCCAGTTTCTATCTTTGTCTAGAATGAGTATACATCATAAAAATAAATACTTCCGTACTTAACATTAATTCGAGTTTATAAATTACGTACGTAAAGACAATGTTTACTTCAGTTATGACTATAGCCCATTTTGTGAAACAACACGTAGTATCTTTAAAGGCCTCGCTTCCAACATTATTATTTCATTGACTATTGAATAAAGTAATGAGCATTTAATATTAATTACACCATCTCTATTCACTTTGAACAAGGAATGCGGAATCACGTTGTGTGTTTTCATGCGTAAGTAGTTGTCAAATGAGACATGAAACAATTGCTTTGCTTATTCATGACAAAAATTACATGTATTTTTTTTAATTCCATTGCCCCGAATTTTGTGTTCCATTGCAATTCAATGGTCACCTGTCATTTCTGTTTCTTAAACTGTGTGTTCTTGACTTGCAGGCTGTGGGCTTTCTTCCACCTCACGAGCGATCTTCCCAGACACGACATTCTTCTCTGTTGACTGCCTGTGGTGAGTCAGTGGTTTTACGTTATGGTTTTTGTATCAATATTTCTTTATCTTTCACCATTCTAGCTAGAATTTGTAATAAAAAAAGGCTTTTTTCCGAAAATATTTGATTATGTAAATATACGAAAATTAATTGATCCTCAAACTGATCTGAAAATATATAAACATGTTCTACAGACGAAAAAGAGTTGTAATCAAATGAAAACTTGCAGATCGGTTTTATTTGTACAAGCCTTAAAACAAAATGGTACCAACAAACTTCCGTCAATTTTCCGTGAATGCTGGAGATGTACAAAGGACTAGAAAAGTGGTAGTTTAGCCAGTAATACGCAACATGAAACACAGTACCACAGACCATATGAGAATCACAGCATCGTAGCACAGTTAATTGATTGATAATTTGTTTAATTAGTGATTCCGGCGTGTCAAATGCTACGTTTGTCCCCTAAGTGTAGTGTATCTTTTTTCCTCGGGAGATGATGGTGATCTTCCTCCACTGTCTGGAGAATTCTAGCGGACGGCAGCTCTAATCGGTAGTTTTTCGTAGTTTCTCCGATCTCCAGGCGAATACCGGACAGTACCGTAACAAACGGGCCACAGACAGTGCGCGATCTTTCCTTGCTATTTCATGTTCTATCCTCATCTCTTACTTACACACACACACACACACACAGTTACTTGCACTAGGCTACCACACGTGTTAGAAGCTTACAGCTTATTAGTCAATTAATAAGAGACATTACCATCATCAAATCGAAAATAACTATTAATTTAACAATGATACTTGTGAATACACAGAGTTGTTTCACACTTCGAATGCGTACAGTGTGAGAGGGTAATTGTGAGTTGGAAGCATGAAGTATTGGCATGTTAAAGTAGATGTTATAACTGTAACCAAATACTCGCGACAGTGGCATGTAACATAATAGCGAATTTTGTTACATTTCGAAAGTAGAGAATGCAGTCTATTTTCCACTCTATGTAGATAGTTAGGTCGTATTCATCATTTGTCTGGAGGAGAATTCTAGCGGCCGGTTGCTCTGATGAGTATTTTCCGCGGTTTCTCCCAGTACCTTACCATACATGTCGGGAGACCTTTCGGGAGTTTAGAGCTTGTTTGGTCTGGGGTGGTGCCCCGCTGGGAAAGATACCTGGAGGAGTAAATCCCACGCAAGTCGACTTGTGGATCTGCGCCAGGTCTCCAGCGGGGGAGAAACACCGCCAGTTCTCGCGAAAAAACATCACTCTACTAACGATACTAATGAGAAGTGACGATAGCTGTTGACGTGCCCGAAAACATCAATTCATCAACAATCATTGATGAAGACACTAATTATCACCAAGCATGGTGTGAATATGTATGCTATGAAATTAATTCTCGTGAAAAATTGTCACATGACAAAAGGTGATGGCACAAGGTGCCTGGTTTCGCTTCTCTGGCAAAGAAATTGACCATGTCCGTGATATTGTAACGAATATTGCATCACCTGCCGGAATTCGCTGCGCGCGTATTGTATCATCTTCCGGCGCCCCCCTTCCCCCCGAACTGGATGGTTCCGGACTATTCGCGAGTCGCGGGGAAAGGTGGAGAAAGTGCTGGTTGTGTCGAGACGATGCCGGCCAGGTATAAATGCGCCGCTGCCGGCGGCCGCGAGTCAGTCAGTGTAAGTTAGTGTAAGTAGTCAGTCAGTGTAAGTACGTCAGTGTATGTCAGTGAGTAGTTAGTAAGAAGTTAGGGTGAGTAGTCAGCCAGTAAGAAGTTAGTCACTGCAAGTCAGTCAATGTAAGTCAGTGTAAGTATGTCAGTGTAAGTCAGTGTAAGTAGTACTCAGAAGTAAGCAGCCGCGAATCAGTTAGTGTATCAGTGAATACGCAGTCAGTCCGTCAGTGTGTCTGAAGTGGAAGTTGTGCTGTAAAGTGTGAATTGCGGTGAACAGTGGTGCAGTGGGTGAACAGCAGTCAGCAGTTTGAAGTCTGCAGTAGAAGCTGAGCTGTGAAGTGTGCATCGCAGTAAAAAAGCAGTGCAGTGGACCCTGGTCTGCGAAGTGAATTGTGCTCTGCGCTGTGAATTCTGGCTAGTGCATTGATGTGTGGTTTGCGCAGGGAATTGTGGTCTGCGCAGTGAATTGTGACCAGCGCAGTGGACCGTGGACAGTGCATAGGACTGTGCGATAGTGTTGATGCAGAGAACAGTGTAAAGAAATAGTGTATAAGAAGTGAACTGTGTAAATGAATAATCAAGAGAACGGAGTCGTGTGTAAGAAAAATAATTAACTGAAGAATACAAGAACTGTGTAAAATATATGTGTAAATAGATCAAGTAGCTTCAGTGTATAATTGTTTACGAATAAACGTTTTTGTTGAAACCCGTGTATTGGTTTTAATTCACCACGAGAAACGTTACAATATCAATCGTATACACTGAGCTTAAATAGGGAAGAATGAGTGATTCGCCAGAAAAATGTACTGGAAGAACATCCACATAGAGCTAGGGAATCTTCACTCGTCACTCAGTCACGCCATCAGCTGTTTGTTTTGATTTATTTCGACAAAAGGCAGTAAACAACTGTACGTAACGTACGTGGAGAAATATAATATGCGCACGTTTTCTTGAGATTAAGAATATCTATCCCATCCTCTTACTATACATAATTGAATGGTGAATAAACTACTAACTAAGCATGGCTAGGAACATTAGAAAACTACAAATTTTCGCCTCCTAATAATATCAGAGTAACATTTTTTTGCATCGCTAAACGAACTACAAATTATATTTCATTATATTGCTTACAAAATAGCAACCCATACTCTCCGACTCTACTCTTAGCACTATTAGAGCTAAAAAAATATACGAGAATGGAGAAAAGATGGCAGTCTTGACTGTCTGGTGAAATTAGTATTTCGGTTTTAGGTTCTGTAGGAATGTCTTTGTTTTCAGATAGGCTAGGAGGCGCAGCTTTTACTAACTTTTGTTTTAACGCTCGTCTTAGCTTGTTTGCATTGATTTGTGCGTGATTTGTTTGATGATGAAGGAGGGTGGTTGGGATTAAGAAGGCGAGCGAATACTGTTCATAATCCAAAACAGGAAATTTGTTTTCAACCCTGACTAGATGCTGTTTCTATGTCTTTTGTGCAGTTATGGGTATACGATTGGGAAGATTCGCAGTGTTGCTACGAGTATTACAGTCCTAAGTCTGTGTAGTGAACAATCTCTTTCAGCTTTTGGATATATTGATAAAATATAATCTCAGATTGGTGATTATTCATTAGATTAAAAAGTATTGCACGATACGAGTTTTCGAAAATACTCTCTCTACAAAATCAATTGAAAAGAGGAACTTACGAAATTTGGCAATGTGGTTACGTAAATTGAAGCCCACTGTCCCTGCAATATTATAATACAACCAGGAGACCATATTTCACTATAAATAGATCAACAGGTATACATTTATATTCTCTTGAGGATATGGAACACAATTTGTAGCACAAATTTAAAACTGTTCAATGCACCGTTTTTATAAGGTTCAAATCAAAGTAATAATCTCCTGTCTCAGAAAATTGAACATGTTGCAGTAATTAAATTAACACTGTGATTTATTGTCGAAAATATTGTGAACTGTTGGTAGATTTTGACACAATCACTAACTCGTAATTTTTCATTTCCTTGCCATTTAAGTTACCTTGTAAAATTAGTAATTTGTTTGTTCGTCGTGCTTATAGCAAAAATCACTCAGATGTTTTCTTCCTATCTTGCAACAAGAAATAAAAATACTTAAGTACACCAGCCAGGCGCATAGGTTTCGCGAGCAACCGACTTATCAGATTAAGTTCGCAGTTACATAACCACCCAGGACATAACTTTTAACAGTATGTATATTTTTCATTACTTCTTACTCATCTTTTTAAATTCTTGATTAATTTTAATTCATGGATTAAAATATTCTCAGCTTGAAAAATGAGTTTTCGGAAAATATATGAATCATATCTAATGTCATAATATCCAAAATCCACAACTTTTATTGAAAATGTACCTTTAATTTATTTATTTTGGAAGTATATTAAATGATATGTGCGGAAACAAGTAAACATAAAGTATTAAATGATCTATTTGGAAGAGAAGTATAATCTACTCACGATCCTTATGCACGAAATTCTCTACCCCTCTCTTTCACAATACGTGGAGGAAATGTGGATAAAGGTACCAACAAGCGTGGTTGGTGACATTTGAAAACTAGAAATATTCCTTTTTGAATATCAGAAAACCTATTTGCGTCGGCAAATTGTCGAAAACAAGTGAACACTAACGTAATTTTTTACTATAGTTAACAAAATAACACACACACACACGCACCCGCACGACTCGTCCCATAGCTGTTACCTAATACGCCAACTGCCTCTGTAAGCAAAATATTTTATTTCCTTGAATTTCGGTTCTTTAAAGGGAGTAAAAATATTTTTCTGATAATCATTATGTAACATGACGCAGATTTAAGGGAGAATAATGTTTGCTGATAGAAAATTAACGAATTTGCACTATTTTTAACGTATCTCCTGAAAATAAATCTTCGCATCTCTTCCTTTGAATTAAATTTGTAAGGGTTGCAAAGTGAGTTTCAAAAGAAAAAGAAGTTGAGAACATTTCAAAGTAGGAATGCGTTTTTATATTAATTGGTTGAGCAGTTGTAATTATATAACTTGGCAATTTCGTTTCTTTTTCTATCATGGTGTTAAACACTGCTTTCAAATAGGTTCCTTGCATTGTTGTATTCGAATAAAAAAAGAGCGACTCTCAAATAATAAATTACAATTACGCATGTTGTTTACAATGGGTAATAAGAATACATCGTTATAGGATTGTAGGAGTGGGTTTTTAGGTCGACTATAAGAACATGAATTAAATACTATTGTATACACTTTATAATGTGATGAATCACTTCTATCATTGGTGAGATAAAAGATGTGAATGCTTGTATATTCCAACTTCTGGTTTCTTTTCGTTAATTGATTGTTAGTAATGTTTGTATAATGAGTAGAAATTTTATTCTTGTTTTTTGGAACCGATTGTATTATATTAGGGTCATTTACAAACTGTTTTGGCACATGGTAACTAAATGTTCTCAACGCGTTTCACTTGTAGCGTACGGTGGCATGCCATTCTTTCGAAACAAGACCACGAGGCAAAAAATTGCAATGGCATAATAAATGTCATTTACTAATCAACGATAATCATACAAATGTGAAATATTTCATGAGTTACAGTAATATGAAATGTAAGTCAATTGTAAAATTTTAATTCGAAAATTGAACCAGCATTATTGTTATTTAAATGTGTTATACCAATGAAAATGAAACGGAAGAATTTCGTTTAAAAGTGAAATTTCATTCGTCTTTAAAAGCGCTTTGAAATGTTAATATTTTGCAAGCATTTTAAAAATAATTTCCATAATAGATTATGTGGATGCTTCTGTAAGACAGATTATCACAAAATTTCACCACAATGTTACTATAAATTTATAATAAACGTGCCCCCAACGTCTTGTTTCTCTCAGTTGCTCTGCTCCCTAAATGAACTGTATACTTCATATTGCCATTATATAAGAACCTTTCAAACTCCTATTCTAACAAATCAATTCATTTCATTCATTTAACATTTCCCAGAGAAATTAATATCTGGTTAGGGCTTTGTTTGAGGTCTTTCACTGAATAGTAGTATTGTATAGTAGATTGATAATTTCCTGCCGCATTGCTTGAAAACAATAAAAATACAAATTTCAATTTTGTACAATTTTCTCGTAAGTCTCATTCTTAGAGGAATAATTGGTTGATAGTAACTAATATTTATTTTAGCTTGGACATTACTGATTGAAGTAGGTAAAATGTAAAACATATTTAAACGTTTTTAGAGCTTCCTTTATGCGTTATAATATTTTTTTCTTCTTTTCTATGTTAGGGCTACTGAATGATTAAATCATTTCACACCAGAGAATGTATAAAAAAAACTATTACACGGTGCCCAAACAGACCTTTCATAGCATGCTGGCCTGTGAAGACAAATTAAATGATAATAATGGGGAGGATCCATGTGCCATTAAGATACATTGATCCTATTAACACCTCGCATTTTGGTGCTCGTCCCGGGGAGCTGGCGTCATATATTTCCCATCGCGGCGTGCGGGGCCTAAGAAGTCAGCGCCATCCTCGGGCGGCCCCTCTGGACCTGAATTGAATACAATACGCGATGGGAGTGTCTGCATTAACAGGTGCTTTGAGCCAGATAGCTATTTCGCTTCGTTGCCAATGGCCAGGATTAGTGGCTATTATAGTAATAGTCTCCCGTCCCCCTCAGCACGTGTGCCAAAGCTTCAGGCGAGTCCGGCCCCGCCCCGGCCCCGCTCCACCCCAGTCCGGTTCCACGTCTTGCGCCCGCCGCCCCCCCTCACTCGTCAATCTCCCTCTGTCTCTTCTCAACCGGCGCTCAGCTACGCTCTCCTCGTGCATTTATCCTTCCCCTTGTCGTCGTTCTCCTCGCTCGTGGCTCTTCCGTTACGGCCTCTCGCTTTCCCCGCGTTCCCCGGGAAGGCCTCTTCTTGCTGCCGCCTCCCGCAGTGTTCGGCCGTTTCGTAATTCTCCCTGACGCGCGACCTTCGGCTTCCCTCCACCCCGTGCCGACACATTTCGCCTTCCGCCCCCGACCTACCATACTACCTATTCGCATAATCTGTTTCCTTTGCGCCCCTCCTTAGCCCCTTCAACCGACCCACTCAACGGCTCGTTCCTGCTGATCTCGCTACGTGCATTGATCTTGCTTCGCCCTCGCTTCTCCCCATTGCCTAACGATCCATGACTGATCTTCCCCACAACTCTCAATCCCGGTAGCTCGATATGTGATGCATTCACGTTCCTCTAGAACCTTCGTCCCTTTCCTCTGCCTCCGCGCTTTCAACATCCGCAGCATACCATACTCTCCCGACACTTCCGATGCTCGCGACACGCTAAACTCGCAACACTCGACATTCCCGACACGTCCGACACTCCCAATACACCCGACTTTCCCGATACTTCCGGCACTCGTGACACTCCCGACACGCGAGATACTCGCCACACTCGCGACACTCCCGATACCCCTCACTTCGGACACTCCCGACATCCCTACACTCCGGCGCTCACGACACCCTCGGCACCCCCGACGCTCCCGTCATCCCGAATCCTTCGGAATCCTCCATTTGTGTCCCCGATGCGACCACTCCAATGAAATTACCGTTTGCGTTACCTCTGCCACCTCTGGCATTCCCTGACCACACCACATTCTCGAAACATTCACACATTCCATCACAAGTTTTTTACGACAAATCTGCCCCGTTTCCAAGACTCAAGCTCTTCGCTATATGCTATAACACTTTCGTTTCACTCCTTCTCCCCCCACCCCGGTACCTTCATTCATTTCACGGCGGCTTCCGCGAACGAGCACCGAACTCTGCTTCTGCCACTGCTTTTGCTTCTGTCTCCGCCACTCTCCTCGTTATCGCTGCTCCGCCAAACCCTTTCCCTGTGCTTTGCCGTTTCGGCGACTCGCTTTTCCTCGCTTCGCCCCCTCCCCTCCACGCCCGTTCCGCTTCTCTCACTTTAACGCGAATTCTCGCGCTAGGTAATTAAAATATTATACCTCATGCATAGCGCTCACGCAATCTCGTATTCCCTGCTCTACGCTTGATTTGGTACCGCATGGCAGATTACTCCCTTATCCGTAGCTCATCAGCACGGGAGAATATCCTACCAAAAATATGTGGAAATTGATTTACGTTGGAAAAGCAGAAGCTCGCTTTATTACATTGATTCTGCGCGAATCGTTGTCTCTAGGTATCATTTTCGCAGTTAAAAGGTTAAACAAGGCTTTATATATTGTTGATGGTAAATTTGTTCACATTTTATTTCATTTGTGATGAACATCGAACCAGTATTACGAATAACATTGAAAAGAATTTGACACTGTCGTTCACAATTGAATGGTTTTTGATTTTTTAAACTACAGTTCAGAAATCTAAATTTCCAGGTAAAAGAGAAAACTGTCTGTCTTGATTGTATTGGTATATTGTGTAACGAAGTGAACGTGTCATTTCTTAATGAAATTTATGACAGTCCATTTAGAAAGTGATTTGCCCATAAAAATAAATGTTTATAAAGATAAATAAGTTGTGCCAGTGAGTGTTGAAGAGAAATACTCTGTTCAGGAAGAAACAAAGTAGTTCATGTACAAAATTACCCAGTAACCAGATAACATAAAAACATTTTTCCTTTTCTTATATTCAGTAATTTCAATGTACCCTAATTCTTTTAATTTTATAAGAATAAGATCGACAAGGAAATACAGATATTAATATTTTCTATCCTTAATGGTGATATTAATAGTAATGTTAAGAACTAAATATGACAGTTTTACTAAGCAATTACTAGCTGTCAGAGCCCCACTGTATCGGCTTCATACGCGAAAACTAGGATACATGATTCGTTGCGTGAATATAAAGCACATAGTTTAGGTAAAAATAAAAATCTTTCTTCTTCATTTTCTTCTTCTTTTTCTTCTCTGCTTCCCTTCTACTTTCTTCTTTCTTTTTCTTCTTGTTCGTTTCTTCTTCGAATTTTCTTGCCTTTACTTCCTCTTTTTCCCTTCTTTTTTCTTCTTCGCTTTCTTCTTCATGTGTATCTTCCATAAAACATCTACAACAATAGTTACTAAGATGAGTTAATAATACTTACTACAGATTCCAAATACTTTATCAACTTTTAAAAGCTCGCTCACCGTGGCAAGTTAAAGTGATAGCCTTGAAGTGTAGAGGTGATTAAAGTCCAAGGAACTGTGCAGTTTTTGTTTTGTTTGTAATGCGCATTGTGTCTCATGGTCCGAAGTATCATCGTTTGATTTTAAAATTGCTATACTCTATAGAAATTTCAATTAATCTGACGTCTTTCAGCTTGTTAGGAGCGCTTGATTATTTTAAGGATTAAACATTAAGGCTAGAACCTAGAACGCAAGTCAACTTATATGATGTGAAATATTATTTACATCGAATGACTGTTTTTTGACTGGCTGTTCTGATTAAAATTTCACTGGGTACTTCGGCGTTGTATGTTTTTTTACACCATTAGTATAAAGTCCTGCTCCTTTAAGTGGAAAGCCAGGACTGGCGATAAATTACACTTAAAAAATATATCGAGGAATTTTTTAAATAGACTTGTTTTGAATTCATATTTTGAAAATATTGAGTTTGTCACAAACAAAATTAATAAGAAGAACATATTTGATTAATTGTATTAACAGCATAAACTTTCTTGCATAGTTCCAAACTTTTTAGTTTTTGAAAATTCAGAGAGTTCAAGGAAGAGATGTCGGTGCCGTTTAAAACATACTTCTATCCTAAAAAACTAGTGGTGCCAAAACAGCAAGTACTTTCTCCCCCTATTTTCACGCAAAATTACGCGAAAAGTACTCAAATGTTAGAAAAATTGTACATGGCTTTATTTCAAAATCTACCTTTAAGGAACAGATTTCTTTAAAAGAAAAAGTTTCTATCTTTAATATTTTAGTTGTAGGAAGACTCCAAGACATTTTTGGACTTCTGCAATTTTCGAAAAATCAGGGTTTTCAACGATCAAGAGACCTGCTCCATTCTCTTAAACGTCCTTCACACTATTCAAAAAGAAAATTTTATCAAAAATGGTGGAACCATTTTTTAAAAAATTTTGAAAATGTCCCAGTGGTTCTATTCCATTTTCTAAATTAGCCCCCAAAATTAAAGTATTAGATGCTAATTCAAGGCGTTTCTCACAAACGGAGGGACGGACGGATAGACAGACGGACAGACAGACAGCCAACCAGCCAGCCAGTCAGACAGACACGTTTTGCCGTCTTTCGATTTTTTGGTATCAAGGACCCACAAAACATGGATTCAGGCTGCACCAGGTGTTAGGAAAGTTTTTTTTCTAAATTAGCAACTGTATTTATCCACTTCTTCCTTACCAGGGTCCTGTAATCCATTTTCTCGTATAGCATTACATAACTTTCTCTCTGTTTTTTAGTGTAGTGAATGTATGTGTAATTGTGTGTACGTAAGGGTTGAGGATAGGACAAGGAGGATAATAGGAAGACAGGGAAGAGACAATAGGAAGAGGAAGGAACTATCACGCACGGTCCGTTTGTTAGAGTATTGCTCCGTCATTCGCCTGGCGCTAATCGAAGAAAGCGCAGAAAACTACAGAGCAGAGCAGCCGGCCGCTAGAATTCTCCCCTAGACAGCAACTGAACTGGACCTTGCTATCCAGCTAGTGTCAAAAATCCTGCCACTTTCCGGACTCGAACCTAGGTCCTCCCGGTCAGCGGCACAGCAGTGACATCTGGTAACGTGATTCACTTCTCGACACCCGTCCGAATTATTATAACTCAAATTATTCCGTCCCCTTCTCCGTCAATAAATTCTTATAATTTATCTGCACGGCGGCCCACTTGTTTGTGCCGCGAATGTGTCACGCGGCATTCAGCGTCTCCTTGCTGAAAAACCACACTACTCCATGTGCGCTCTGTTCCTGTCGTAAATTATCTGTGCGTTGCGATGGGTCACCTAACATCCCTGTCAGAGGCTGGACACGTGATCGAGACGCGTGTGCATGAGAGTACTAGCGTATGAGCGTATGCGTATGGGCTGGAGCATTCGCGAACGTGGGTGCGAGCGGACATTCAGCGCGATAGTTCGCGAACATTGTGACAAAAGAAAACAAGACCGTCGGACGTGCTGGCGTGTGTGCGTCGCTGCAATTGAATGCAGATGCGCGCGCACCGTTCTTGGACTGCAACTCGCGGATGAGTAGCTCTTCCCGACGGCTGAATCTTTTCGCTGAATGAACGCGTCTCTAAACGGGAGAGCTTCTATTAAATCCAATAAATTATTTGCAGATAAGAATCAAGTTTTCCAGGTGCGACAAGCACTGAAATGTCGTCGTCGTCAGATATTTTTCTCTTTTTGCTTTCTCGCCTTACTTCGTATAAAGAAAAAGTGTTGTTAACTTGCACAGGAAATCGGCGATTTTTCCTCGGAAAAAGTGTTATTGCTGAGCTCTGGTAAAGAAGTGGTGGATAAAGATTGTTCCCATATGTAGTCAATTACTTCCTTGAACACATTCTGCATTTAGAATCTGTTTTGTGGGTTATTGATACGGAAAAATCGATTGGCGGCGAAACGTCTGTGTGTCTGTATGCCCGTCCGTAGATTTTCACATAGAATGATTGCATGTCAACCCTCTTCCAGAAATAGATAATGCAAAAATCCAACGGCAGACTAAGAGAGAAGTCATATATTTAGGACTTCAGCTTGAAACAAACTCATCTGGAAAGACCACACTACCACAATAATGAACAAAGCATATAACAATGAAAACACTTTACCATTTCATGAATAATAAGTCAATTCATTTAAAAACATGTATTTATAAATTGATTATTCTTCCACCTCACGCATGTTCCATAGGGGTTCCTCAACACAGACGAATCTACATAAACTCCAAATAATTCAAAACAAAACCCTTCGCCGAATAATAAACGCTCCATGAGTTTTAATGAACGATTAAATTCATAGTCTAACTGAAAATTGTCCCACTCAAGAAATGGATATAAAGACTCTCGGAACGCTTTTTTTAATATTCCACCATTATTTCCCAGCACTGAGATATTCAAAAATCTTCTGCAATCACCTTAACTCTCTTCTCAAAACCATCCCCGAAAACGAAAAACAACTGAACCGCATTTGTAGCAACATTTGTACTGAACCAAATTTAAGAAAAAAAAGCCATTATGAACTACGTGAGTTAACCGGACTGTACATTTATTTCAATCACTTCAAAAGTGTCTTTCAGTTATTTTAATTGAGGTTTGTTTTGTTGTTGCTTTGCTTATTAAGATTTATTTTTTCTCATGAATGTATTCATTCATTCATTTATTGTTCTTCTCAAAAATTCTGTGCTGGTTCTCTAATTCTTTGTAAACTTATTTGATTTCAAGCGTTTCCAAATTGCGTATATTAAAAAGTTCAAGGTTTTAAATAAAATGTAACAAAATTACTAACCACAAAAACAAAACAGCTGTAACTAAACACCTTCAAAAGCAAAACTTGACGAAAAAAAATTGAAAAAACCAAATGTCTAGGTTCCTCTTTACGATGAACACACAATGAAACGAAAGGAAGAAAGTCTGTACTATAACTAAAGACACCACCGCATAATGTACCGATACAATCTTTATGCTAATCTTAAATGGTTTTGATTTTGTTTTAGGAAAGCTGTATTTGCGCATTCTGAGAGAAGCCAAACGCCATTCACGGTGAGTAACAAGCATTTCTTCATATTCAAATAACAGGTGCAACAGATGTATGAAATTGTCAGAATTGATTGATTGATTTTCCGGTTCGTCAATGAATAAGATCATTATCCCGAGAGGTGGCAGTTTTCCTCCACTGGAACGTGAGATCCTGTTTCGATTTGTATTCCACATCTGTTAGCTGGATTTCCACGCATTTTCTCCATCGGAGCACCACCCCAGCCCCGGAAAGATAGCATCCCTCTGTTGTCCCGACATGTAGGACTGTAGCACTTGTAAAAGTGTGTGAATGTGTGTGTGAAAGGGGAGAGGAGATTTTAATAAACTTTTGTATATTATTTATTTATTTTTTTAATAATGACTGAGAAGGTTCAAATGAAGCTTCATCCTCAGTTTTCTGTATATTTTCAAGCGCACTGGAACCTGCTATTTCATTGATAGTCAATCGTCAATCTGTCAGTTGATTGAATGAAATACCGAACTGTTCAACTCATAACAACATACAGCGTAGTTGCGATCCGATCATATTCCGAAAATTGAAAATGTATTTTTCTGCATTGGTGTTTTAGATTGAGGAGTCGTAAAAAAAGGTTTTGTACAAATCGTGTGTAATTTTATGATCCGTGAACGATAGCTAAAGAGTTCGTATGTAATGAACGCAGATTTTCGGAGCATCCTACCCCCAGCATTTGTTCTATAAACCATTTTGATATGACCTCTGTGACGTAGATTTATTATTTATATTGTAATTTAACGACATTTCCCCCTTGGCCTCATTTCCGCTTGCTTTCCTTAAACACTTTTTCTTGCAATCGCAAAAAGAATTGGTTTCTATTACATATCTGTCAAAACTATATGTGCTAACATCTTGCAGTAAGGTAGTGTAAGCATTTTTGAGAAATGCTTTGATGAATACTCTTTTTTCCATCTGTGAAAGAAATGCTATTTTAGAAATGATTCCTTATCGGAAGTAAAGGTGTCATTTCTTCGATGTATGTTTATACTTTTTTTATAATTCTCGAATACTATTCCGTAAAATTCTCTAGTATGTTGTTATTTTTAGTTACCTCTTTTCATTTCTTTTCATTTCAACTCTGCTTTCATTTCCAGTTTCTTTTCCTTTAAAATAATTAAAAGGAAAAAAATCAATTCTGAAGTAAAATCGAATTTGACTTGCAATGGCTTAATCTTGTAGTAGCAACCATATTTTTTCGGTCATCCGCTGTGCGTTTTAACTTTGTATACGATCCACAGTCGATCTCACTGATCATGGTCTTGTAAAAAGTATTCGGGGAAGTTCTGAAATTGATATTTTGATATTACAATTATATGTTTACCCATTACTTCCCTTTACTTACTTTTTTCTTTATCAGATTTGTCTTTGAGGGTTTTCTTCAATACATTCCTGCAACTCCTATTCTAATTTTTTCCTGCTTGGTTACAAATCACCAACATTTAGCTAACTTTAATGCATTACTAGCTTTAATTAACATGAACTATTCAATATTACATAGCACCAATTCAGTACTGTTTAAATCATTTCTTGAAGTACATTTTTACAAAGTTAAATATTTTATCCTGCGTCTGATTTGTAACCCAGTAATTCGTTCATAATATAGGAACGGCTTTTTTCAGATCAGTAGACGAATTTTTTGACAGATTCTAAAACAGTTGTGCATTACTCATCGCTCTGCTAGAAGTATTCTTCAGTAAGCCAGTTGAGCAGACTGCCAAGTATTTATGCCTCAAAATGTTAGTTCAGTGGATGTACTTTGCAATATTTTTCACGAATAATTTACCTTGATTTGATGTAATCCCTAAAAGAATATTCTTGAAAAAATAATGTTGAAAAACATATGCGAATATGTATGCGTATAAATTAAGAAGGCATTTTGCGTCCGTTTAATTAAATAATCAAACGAATGTAAACGGACAGAACCATAAGAACCGAATTTAAGAGACCTCACGTTGTTTGCTTTATTCAGGCGTTTAATGAAACTTGTAATAGACTAAATTTTAATAAAAGATTAGTAATGTAAATAAGATATCTCAAAAAAGAAGTTTAATGTTTAATTTTCTTGTATTCTATTTGCATAAATATATTGAAATCATGCTAACATTATTCGTTTGATGGAATGATAAAAATAATAGAGAATACACCAGGTCGAGCACAAGTTGTGAAATAAATGCTAATCATTTCTACTCGTTACTCATCCACCAAACTTCCCCCTTTCCAATTGGACTCGGCATTAGTGAGTGTCAAAAAATTGATCTGTTTATTAATGTCACAATATTTTTCACTTAATGCGATAATAAATTGTTAGCTCCTTTTTTTATAACACTCCCTATGAGCACTTATTTGATTAATTTCAAGCATTATTTTATCCTTGATTACCTTGATTAATATCATTATTTACTCGGAATACACTAAATAGCTCATGTAGGTTACTTGTTTCACAGTCGATATTTGTGAGTAGGACTAGCCATTCGATAGTAATTGCATTCTATTACCCATTCAATCAACAGCGTTTCACCCGTGGTCGTTGTCAGAAATTTCCGTTTTCCTGAAATCGAGTTTGCCGCGCCTGTATATTAATACACGCACTTGGGTTGGCTAGAGGTGTAATTTAAATACTAAACCATGCAATGAAGTAAAAAATCCTGTAAAATTGAAGGTTTTTTTAAAAAATTCCTTTTCATCTTTTGAATTGCTGGTTAATTCTTCATTTCTCCTTCATTGGAAGAACGACGCTCTATTTCTCCGAAAGAAAAAATAACATTACACAGTGTAGAGTTCAAAACATCGGTCGGCGGAAGCTGTTCGCCAGCTTTCAATGTCAAAGTTGTTTATATTGCTAAATAGTATTATTTTTATTAATTATACTTATAACTTGTAAGTCATAACGATGATCGGATTGAACAGGATGTTTCTTCGAAGGAATGGTCTGAGGGAGAGATCATTCAATCCAGGATACATACGGCTGCGGTTTTATTTTGTCTTTGAATCCGATTAATATGTCATTGGTATCGCTATATTCGTATAAGTGACTGTCTTAGGGGAAGATCTTTCAGTATTCATTCTTATTCTTGATTTTCATTGCGCTGACTGTTCCTTTTCTACTTGTTTAATGATTGATTGATTGGGGTTTAGGAAACCTTCAGCAGGTAGGGTTACCAAGCCCCATGAGATGATCTAATGAGCACAAGATGCAGATAAATATATGAGACGAATGATCTTGTAGAAATTGTGAAATGAGAATCTTGCGAACCGGGAGAACCCCGAAAAAAACAACAACTGCTGAGTGCTCGCTTTATCCACCACAAATTCTTCATGGTCGGAGATCGAACCCGGCCCTCGCCGGTGCAACACATTTGCGCTAGCAATTTCATTACGAGTCTGCCTTATATGTTGTGTTTTTAATCTTTAATCTTTTCCCAAAAGAACAGGTACCTTTAAAATTGTAGACAGCAGAATTTTTATGTTTAATTTATTGCATATCAAGTAAAAATTAATATTAAACATATTTTTGTCAGTCATAAGTGACGTGAAAAATTAGTTTTTAACGAAAATGAACCTTGCGTTATTCTTTTAATGGAGCCATATTTTGTTGAAAATTTTAAAAATGTGCCAGAGACTTCATATAAAGTACCCATCAAAACTGAAATATCAGTTTCGAATTAATAGGTTGTTCACAGACTGACGGACGGACAGACACGTTTTGCCGTTATTCGATTTTTTAGTGTCAAGGACACACAAACATGGATTTTGGCTACACCACGTAAGAGAGATTTTTTTTCTAAATTTTGCAACTGAATTAATCCTCTTTTTTGTTACCAGGACCCGGCAATAAGAGTTTTTCTGCCGGAAATTACATAACTTTCTCTCTACTGCGAAAGCGGTAGCGAGAAAGTAAATACGATTCTGCTTCCCTGAATGACCAGCCAACTTAGTTCAACATTCGAAAGCTCGTTGCATTTTCAACCATGTTAGAAGACCAATCAAAATTACGTAAGACATCATTCGGCCTGCACGAGTTTAGCCCGGTAAGATTAATTCGTTTCCAGCAATTTGATGGAGTAAGGTGTCTAACGATCAGTAGTGTACGAAGAGACATTTGTTAGATGAAACGGAGCGAATTATTTTGCAAATCGTAATTCTATTTTGCTCGAAAGAAATATTGTGAATTCTGTTTAAGAGGTCGTTACGGTTTCGGTAAAAAAAATGACCGTTAATGAGGTGAAGGGTAGCGTCTAATCGTGCTAATTGCTGTAAAATAAAATAGGTTTGCGGTAAAATCATTTTAAATACCTTAAACTACAAAAATAAACTTAAAATACACTAGAATTACAAATTATACAAATTATAGAAAGTTCTAGCGTGGATTTACTAACTTTTTGCAAAAAAATATTTCATCCTTAGTAGTTTACATTTCTTTTTAGCTGCGTAGGTTTCGAATTTTTATAATTTAATTAATATGGTATTCTTAAAAATGTCGGCTCGTTTTCTCCGCTAGACCCAATCACCCTCATGAAATGCACTTTCCGTTCTACCGAAACGAACTCCCAAGCAGACTTCAAAATGCAATTCACCTTTTGTGGGCAGGGAGTGAAATGTTCACGAATGACCATTAGATCGGTTTCGCGCACGCAGCGTAATCCTCCGTCGGCCGAAAATGCGTAGTCTCAGAAAGATATTCAATCAATTGCATATCCAACGCTCTGCCGCATCTTATTCTATTACTATTCAAAATCGTTAGATGTGACAGATGTCAATCTACGAAATGAACTTGGCCGATTAACGCGGGCTTCATGAAAAAATGTTCGCATGAAGTGACCGTTTAATCGAAGTAGCCGTTTGAGTTAGATTCACTGTAGTATGTATAATTAAATACAATTTGAGATATAATTACTGGTGCAGTGAAGAAAAATGTTATGGAAATTCGAACGTGCACGATATGGAAGGGGCACATTGTAATGTTATGGCTTATTTCAGGAATTAGGTACAAAATTAATTAAATAATTACGTCAAAAGATGTTTAAATTACCATTTGGGTTGTAAATGGTAGTACATCAAAAACTGCAGACGAGGCCGGAAGCTCATTGTACAGGAGAAGCGGGCTAGAACGACGTGAACAGCATATTCCCTTACTTGCACACACTTATTCTTAAATACACAACACTTCTACAAATGCTGGGAGACTAGTCCCTCGTAGGGAAGATACCTGAAATGGAAAATTCCCTGCATGCCGACGTGTAAGTCGGTGCCGGATCTCACTATCCCGCGGAGGAGGAACACCTCCATGTTCAGGCTTACAAATTCATTACACTAACGGGACCAATGTCAATAGCAGTAGACGTTCTCAGAAATATCAATCAACACAGTAACATGAGCAACGACACGAGGTAAAGAGAGTAAATCTTTCGAGAGACAGCCACTGGAACTGGAGATACAGAAGGTAGAAAAATAAAGTTTCTCCTAAAAAGCGAGTAGGTGTTTGTGATCGACGCCATGGCCAAGTGAGATGGTCGAAATTCTACAAACTTATAGAAACGAAACATGTATGAGGAAGACATAACCATCTCTGTGGTGAGGGGTTGCTTACTAGTGTCTGAACCCCTAGTGTGCGGATTCGATCCCGGCCGAGTTGCGCGGATTTTCGAAGAGCGGAAAATCCACAGTAGTCATGTCACTCTTGAGGCATGTAACAGAACACTGGCAAATGCCCGACAAAATTAAATTCCTCCGACAACATCCCGCCCTAACGAGCTCTCACTTTCTTTCAACCAGACAGTTCGAATATAGTTCACTGAGACCGACATCTGGCGGAGGAAGTGAGGGTCAAATCCCAGGCGCATTTAGGGGACCTCCCGCGAGGTGCACCTTCTTGTAAAAGGTCCCAGACCCGCGTCGGAGGTAGGCTTCCAAGGAAGCCTGGGTCGAAAACTCGGGTGCGGAACACCGCCTAAGGCAGTCTCCCCCGTAACAATTCCGCACGCTAAATAAAAAATAAGTGCATAACTACCTGTATCCGATCGTTGGACGAAACCGTTGTGTTCTTTGGGGGATTTATAAGAGCTGTAGAAATTGGAGAAAGAAAAAGAAGGTAAAGTTAGTTTTATTTAAAGAAAATGTTAAGTGTTTGTTAATGAAACGTTAATAATTGCAATTTTTATCGGATTACAAATAATATTAGTAAAATTAGGTGTTGTAATGTTTTGTTAGTCTTATTATTGTAAACAACTGTGTAATCAGGTTACTGAAGATCAATCATGGCTCTGAAACCTATAAATTTTAATCGCAACTGTGCATAGTAGTAGTAGTAGCAATACATAGATCGTGTGCGATCCTTGGTGATCCCCCTAAGATGGTAGATCCCCCTAAGATGATCCCCCTAGAAAGGTTGGATGCCACCAGCCTCTTTTCCGACCCTGGATTCCTTGGAAGCCTTCCTCCGATGCAGGTCTGGGGACCTTTGGAGCAGGCGCTTTGCGCGGGCGATCCCCTAATAACCCTGGGGCGTGACTCTCACTTTCTCCGCCAGATGTAGGTATGAGTTAACTATATTCGAACTGTTTGGGAGAAAGTGAGATCTCATTAGGATGAGATACCGTCAGAGGGATTTAATTTTGCTGACCATCATCAAAAGTTCTTTTACATGCGACAAGGGTGACATGGCGATAGAGGATTTTCGGCCCTACAAAAATGCACGCACCTCAACCGAGATCAAACCCGCGCACTGGGGATTTAGAGGCCAATAAGCTAACCCCCACGCAATTAAAACAAAGTTTATCTCGAGCTTACTAATAATAAAAGGTTTGCGTAGTCTATTTTGTTAAAAGCCATATTAGTTTCAGTGTAGTGGGATACCATATTCAAATAATGAACAATATTATTGATTTCGAAGAGAATATCGTTCTGCACTTTTTGATTTTGTTATAATTGTACAAGATTTGATGGCTTGTATCTTTTGTATTTCCTATGTTACAGAAAAGTATAATTGGCTGCTGTGTAAATTGCTTCCTCCTGCTTCTGTATCTAATTTATTAGTATTCTACAAGTATTATGAGGGCTTTTGTTTCATAATTTAAATCAGTGTCATCAATTAAATCCGTGTTACATAATCATCATGTCCAAACCCTGAGCTTGCATAATTATTTCATTACATTTTGTTGGTGTATAAAATTTGCAATCAGAAGCATGTTGTATTCCTCTATTTCAGTCATCATCTGGGCAGTGCAATAATCTGTGACCCCACCAGGTGATGCGACTCTTCTTTCCTGAAGCCTGGGCAGATCATTGATCTGATATGTGGGAGACGGAGAGAGCTAGAGGTCGCAGAAGCGACTTCTGAGACAGATGGGATTGTAAACGGCTTTCTTTGGCATTTTACAAATCCGAGTAGTCAATAAAAATATTTACCGCTTCCCATTTTTAAACAACCGATGTTCATATTCTTTGAACCATGTGTTGCCAAGCGTCCTTGTTTACGTGACATGCTCCAGTGACCAGTGTTGTTTACTCTCTTGCCTTAAAACAGTAGTGTAATAGTTCGCTGTGTATCGGCGATTTTCCGACCGAAAAAAACTCCTTATTTCCTGGACCTGGATACGAGAAAGTGGATAAATATTGGTCCTGTATGTTGTAAATTATTTCCTCCATGTTGTGAAGTCAAAACCGGTATTTTATGAATTCTTGATGGAAAAAACTCAATTGACGGCAAAACGACTGTCCATTCCTTTACCGGTGCTTTGGGAATGGAGGGGATGAGGGCATTGGTGTTCCATATTTCCTTAAGTTGTCATGTCATATAAAATAATGGCAGCATATTTGAAAGATGCAAAGGAATGTTGGTTTTTCAGATGTTATTATCCACTAACACACATCTTGTAAATTAAAATGTACACCTGGAGTTCACAGTACTGGTTCGTGAAATGATAAAGCGATAACGAATCAATGAAAATTGAGGTGTCGTCTGGAGGGGTCATTATGAGCAAATGATCAGTGTAATCAAGATCCCATTGTTACAAAATTATTAATAGATGAATAATTAATTGTTTTCTCATGAAATGTTTTCTACAAACATCATATAATCAAAATAAAATTCACTCACTTTCCTTACCATTCATAGTTCATGGTTAGGATGTTTATAAAACTCAAGAAACTCTATTAAAAAATTTACTGTATCTTACAAACAAAATCCTCAATATGTAGTGCATACAGATACATTTAATGTATTATGTAACATTTATGTAATCATTGCACAAGAGTGATAATTAAAAACACGTCTTTTCAGATGATTTCCAATTATGTGAATCGAGATGTTTACGAAACTATTGGTATGGAGAATTTTTATTTTTAAATCATTTAAGTGCAGTTCTTTGAGTTACAATTGTTTGCTTTATATTATAGAGGAAAATAATCAGCAGTTTTTGAGAAAATATATTCTTCAAAATTGCATAAATTTCATGCTCAAATTCCCCGAAGACGGACAGACGGACGGACGGACAGACGGACGGACGGACGGTCGGTCGGACGGTCGGACGGTCGGACGGTCGGACGGTCGGACGGTCGGTCGGTCGGACAGACAGACAGACGGACGGACGGGCGGAGGGAAGGACGGACGACAAGAGGGAGGGACAGACGCACCGACAGACGGACCGATGGACAGACGGAGGGATCGACGGACAGATGGACCGAGGGGAAGACGGACAAACGGCAGGCCGGCCGGCCGGAAGGAGATACGGACATACGGACAGAGATATACGGAGGGACAGGCAGAAGGACAGACGGACGGACAGACACATTTTGCTGTCAATTGTTTTTTCAATATTAATGATCCACAAAGCATGCATTCTGACTACACATGTTAGAGGCAGTTACTATAGTTATTAGTAGAACGTGTTATTATATACAAAAACAAAATTTATCCACTCTTTTGTTATCAGGGCTCGGTAATAGAGGTTTTTTGACGAAAATACACAATTTCCCGGAGCACGATTACAATACTACCATCTTACGCAATAAAGTCGAGAAAATAAAATGTAAAGGTATGTGAAACAATATATTAATTTAACATGGACCGATACTAGGAAAATGTTGAAAATCCCCAGTCTAGACGGGACATTCGCCCCAGCGTAGGTGGCTCACGGCATCAACTGATATATCTGTAGTGCCCTGAATGGGAGTTCCGAAGGGTCGTGTTCCGAATGTGGCAGGATTTTTGAAATTAACTAGATAGGTAGGTCGAGTTTAGCCGCTGTGTAGCGGTCGGCTTCTCTGATCAGTAGTTTTCCGTGTTTTCTGCAATCCAATGCTGGAGGAGATCCCTTATAATCAATCTATGGTCCGCGCGCGATCGCGGACTCCGTACCACGGACCGGGCGCGTTTCTTCTTGTTCCTTGTCTACTCCTCACTCTAAGGGGTGGCGCGCTCACGCAGGCACACACACACACACACACACACACACATGCGCCACACTACCGCAAATGTTGGCTGATTAGTCCGGAGCCAAAACTTGGCCCCTCTGAGGAAAATACCTAGCTTAATGCACCATAAACCACAATTGGAAATACACCATATACGAGTCTGTGTTTATCATCATTATGACCATTATTACTTACTATTTTTATTATGTATCACGATTTTTTCGATTATTTACTCCTTACTTTCCGTCGAGTGGATGCGTATACTGTAGCGCGCTCGGAAGGTGTTCTTGTGTTTGTTCGGGATAGTGTTCGGGATCGAATTCGGGAGCGCGTTCTGGAGCATGTTCGGGTGTCGTCGGGAGCTTGCGCCGGAGCGTTTTCGGGAGTGGCGTTGGGGGCGTAGTCGGATGCGTGTACGGGAGCGTGTTCGGGGGTGAGTCCGGGTGCATGGCCAGCAGCGTGTTCAGGAGCGTGCTCGCTTATCTGTTCTTTGCCGGGTCAAGTCGTGTGTTTGGGAGCGGCTTCATGCGCGATTTGTGAGATGGCTCTGAAGCGAGTGGGAAGCGGATACAGCAGCGCGCCATGCAGGAGAGTGTTCGAAGGCAAATCCAAAACAAATGGGTTTGGCGCGGGGAGGAGGAGGAGAGAACGGGTGCCGCGAGAGCTCGATGCCGACGGAGAAAAGCGTTGGCAGCGAGCGTTGGCGGGCGCCGGTCGGCTCCGGCGACGGCGCGTCGTCCGCCACCCGACCGCAGGCTACGAAATTTACGAGGCGCTGCGGTGGTCGCGGTGCGTGCGCGCGGTCGCCTGGTCAGCCAGCGCCCCCCCCCCATGGCCGCGCGTCAATCATGGCGTGGTCGCTACCGTACACCGTGACGACTCACTTCGCCCTCAGAACCTGCACGCACTACACTCCGTTCGAAGCGTAGAGAGCACTTTAAAATTCGTTTTCATTTTGCCCAAAACGAACGATGCGCGAGTTCTACAAATTTTGTACATGCGGTATAGCGTTCAAACACGAACAAAATTCATCACACTTGGAATGTAACGATTTATGTGATATAGAATACGAGTAGTTCTCTAGACTTCCCCGCCAAGTTCCATACAAATTCAACAACTAGAGGAATGCGTTGTATTATCCGTACACGCTCCCAAACCCGTTACCTGACACACCTGAACCAGCTACTGAAAGCTTCCCGAACACGCTCGTGAACCTTCCTTCGAACGCTCTCCCGCTCCCGCTTGCGAATCTGCCCCCGCATCCGTTCCTCTTCCAAACCTCCTTTCCTTATTCCTCTCCCTATACCTCATCTCCAACCCGTTCCCTTAGAGCGCGGAGTTCCTGTTACCTCTTGCCTCCGCCTAACCCCATCTCTGTAGGTGCTCCTCCTGTCACATATATTTTCGGTCCTGTCGCTCTCCACCATTTCCTCAATCATCACCTTCAGATCGTCCGCGTTTCTTGTGTCCCCGGACGTTTAGGAAGAGGTTACCCAAGAAACTGGTTTATAGGGAGATTCAGTCTTGCATATTTTATTGAATTATGTATTTTTTTTTTTCAAATCCACTTGCATTCCGTTCCAAATCCACGAATCGAAGTGTTTTCCAAGTATTTATCTAGACCTCCCCTTCAAGTAAATGTAAAGTATGTGAGGTAAGTCATTAGCGAAAATGTGAACAAAACGCATAATTTGATATTTGATGCAATATTTTGATCTGAATTTGAAGAATTTGTATGAAGTGTACCTGTGAGAGTAAAATAGACTGGGTCTAAAATACGAGTGACTTGTCTTATGCGAAGGAAAATGTACAATTTCCATCTTTAGTAGTAACGTAACCATACCATACTCGCCCGATGGAATAACGCGATGTGTAATTGATAAGTGACACCAAAATCAATTTCCGCCGAATATCAATGCTATACACTTCAAATTTCAACTGCACGTTTATATTAAAAAGTTATTATCTTCGCGCCAAACAAATTCCCAATTCAAGTAAATATATAAGAATCTTAATACACATCACGATTATTGTAACTAACTTACTACGTAGTAATTGTTTCTACTAAAAAATAAAAAAATATTACTCAAAGTGGCATTTTTAAACACGATTTAATTTTGACGTACGACTGTTTCAGTACTAATCTCAAGATTTCATTAGAAGTTTCGAAAATAAACATCATGTCAAAACGTTTTTTGGGAAGGGAATAATGTTAAATTTTGTGGTTTTAGTTCCATCGTGACTTCAGCTGCAATTCTAGAAAAGTGTTGGTTGAAGAGATATGCCACTTTCTCGGATTACTTGCTTCTCTTTCATCATCCTTTAAAATGACATTCTTTACTAAGTATCGAGGTGATGTGGTCGTATTTTTTACGACATTCCACATTAGTTTTGTTACTAGTGTTCAAAATATCCTGATTATTTTTTATTATTTTTGCTTGACCTATTACTGTTCTTCAAATTCTTTTGTATTCTGGGAAGTAGACATGGAAACCGGGAGATACGTTATGATGTTTAGAAATAAAGTAAACGTACCTTTGTTTTTACATCGTGTAAATATAAGTATTATTTTTCCGTGGAATGTTTTATTTTCCCTTTTTGAGTGGAAAGCATGCGTTAAAGTGAAATGAAAGGTTTGTGAAAAATATATTATATTTTTCATTTGTGTCAACAGCGTTATAAACTGTGTCCTATGATTCCTTCAGCAAGTAGTTCGTAAATCATTTTATGTTAACTTTAGTGAATGTTCTGCACACGCGTGTATTATTTATTGTGTGAGTGTTCATGTTATTAAAAATTTGTGCATCGTGGTCACTAACCTACATTAGTTTTATTTCATGTCTAGTTGTGGTTTTGTTGATTATAATTTGATCTATTGATTTTTGTGATTTAAATGTATTCCGTGTAGATACATTAATTGTAATATCTAAATTAAAAGAATACAGTAAATTGAGAAACTGCTGTTTTTCGTATGATTGGCACAGAAAATCAATATTGAAATCTAAATACAACAATGGATTTGAAAGATAGATTACTAATTTTGTTCAGAGTTCGCTCTATATTTTCTAAGAAAATGAAATTATCTAAAACTCGGTTTGTTGGAGGTCTGTAAATACAAAGTAAGATACTTTTGAGAGTAGTAAGATGTACGACTGTTATTTCAAAAACGTTTTCATCTGCATATAAATTCAATACTTATAAGAAGATAGAATGAATACCATTTCTTACGTTCAACCATCAGCATTGTGTCAACCATCACGTGTGAACCCTCTCATTGATATGTAGATTGTAAATTAAAGTGATATATTAAAGTAGTGAGTTATATGTAAATCGCTTTCTTTCCTCAATATATCTGGAACTTTCCGATACTAAAGTTTGATTACCCCTCTGCCATTCGCAATTATATGATTGAAACAAATGAACCACTGCACTCCTAGCATGATGCACCAAGCCCTGCCAACAAGTCCCTATCTCGATCAGATTTTTCGTTCAGTTCCTTTGGTCCTTTAAGTGAATACTGAGATGGGCCTTTGTTTTGCGTCTAGACATAAATGTACCTTCACTATCTTTTTCTTATGAAAAAAAAATATTGCCAAAAGCGCTAATGTCCGTCTGTATTCAGTAATCAACTTGTACATGGTTCAGGGTAGGGATCCCAGAATTAAGAAAACGTACACAGAACGCATTTCGTGATAATGAAAATACATTTCATGAAAAAATAAAAGGAGTCAATAATTGACGTCTATGCACTCCACGCACCTCCTCCAGGACCAGGAGAGGTCCAAGACCTTCAATATTTCACAGGACCTCCAGCGCAGGTAACGCGCTGAACGTAATAAACTCACGGCCGGCCTCGCTCGTGTGCTCGACGGCGACGCTGACTGGGAGGCGATTACAATGACAATTCCCAGCCTCCGACGCGGCAGCGCCCCGCGCGCTCAGCGCATGGGGCTGCATAGCGCCGACTGCGAATGGCGACCCGTACGTTTCCACAATGCTGACGCGAAAGGCAGTTTCAAAGCGGAATGCGGGCACGTGTGTGGCCCGACACACGTGCGTGGGTTGCTGATGCTGTTTCACAATCTGTGCCTGTACCGGCAGTGAACAAAGGGTTTGTGAAGACGCGCGTCTGAACAACAAAAAACACCCACTTAATTGGGACTCTTTGTTGGAAATGAAAACTTCCTACTTCTGCGTTTCAGTGCATAGTTGGGAATGTAACTAGATATGATAAATCGTAATAATATGTTATTTATATGTTATGTTAATTATTATTTTGTCAAAAACATTAAAAACTGTATTTGCCATGCGGGGGAAAAGATCAGTGCCCGTTTTCTCGAGTTACAGAATCCCTTTCCCTCAGTTTAACTTTAACATGTTAACGAACATTTTCATTTCAACTATAAATAGTTGAAAGTTGAGTAGAAGTTTTTTTAAAGAACAAAAAACAAAATAAATATAAAATTTAAATAAGTGCGGCATTAGTAACATTTGAAGAACTAGACATTTTCATTCCCGAGTTACAGAAAACTTTTTTCCAACTGTAAGAGAACTCCATATTTGATTTTTCTAGATTGCCAACAAAGTAGTTTCACTGCTAACAAATAAACTCATCCTCAGCTCTACTCCAACCTCTACAAGCAAAAGGAGAGTTAAACAAAACGTGCGAATACTGATATATAGAAATTTTTTATTATTTTTTATAACTCATTTCCCCCTTTTTTGTCATTTTGTAGGTCATTATCCTCTTTTTTTATGTCATTTTATAGGCCAAAGAATGTATACGTCATCGGATTTTGAGCCCTGGTTATCAATATTAATTCGATTAATGAAGAAACCGAGCTCAGGGTTGGGCATTTCATGTGGCTGATCGTTACAGAAAACGCTCGGCTGCCGCGCCTTCGCTGCCCGAGTGCGGCACTCCCGCAGCTCCTGAACAAATCCGTAATACCTTCCCTTCTCTTCCCATAAACCCTTCAATGGGGCTGAACTGCTTTCCTTTAACCCGGACACGCCACAGACGTCTTTGAAACAAATACTGGCCTACTCAAGCAGCAGACCAAGTAAAATTCGCAGTGCAATGCGATGAAAGAATTATCAGTCGCAGATTGCGCCCTCTCAGAACATTTGATCTTACCCACTGTCATTTTTAGTACCGTAGAACGGTTAGCACCCCTGCTGTATTACTGGGTCTCAAACTAAAGAAATTATTTAACGATGCGTGCTACAAACTGATTGTTTCAGAATAGGTTTGGAACTCCTCAAGGTCTCGCCGCCGGTAACGCCACAACAATGCCGCAACACCGGTGATGCTGATGTTTCGATCATCATATCGTGATCTTCTTCTGGACTGAAAGGCTTCAGGCTTCGATGCAGCGTCACCCTGAAAGCCACTCTCATGACTGGATGCGGAAGCATACACTCCTAAATAAAAAAGACCAACACTGTAGTCCTGAGAAGGATCATTGTATGATGGTCGAAATGACAGCCTTAGAGGATTCGGCACAGCTTCGCCTGGTAGCCAATCGTATGATTTTGGCCGTGAAGGCTACATCAAACATTCAATATAATAGTTAAAATAATCTTTATTAACTTTAGAACAAATTAATCACTTTTTAAGGCATGTTATAACGATTCAAATGTACACAAGGAAAGTGACAGATTCTCAAAGACAGATTTATTTAAGGAAAAACCTCTATTCTCAATACTGTAGTTGTATGAAAAAGCCGAAAAAATACGTTTGCAATTTTCAATCTCTCGGGGATTTTAACGAAAACGAGAACTGCGTCATTCTTACGCTATTAGAGAGATACGTATAATCGACAGTCATTTTAAGGAAATTTCGAAAATCCTGTCCAGGCTCTATGTAAAAAAACCTTCAAAAATCGAAATATCCGTTCCAAATTCGCTGGCTTCGAGTTAGGTTCAGATCGATCACGAACTAGGTCAATTTGGGAGAAAATCGTCAGAACGGTTCAGTAGGCGCTAGCGCTGACCACGGACTGACATGCAGATAGACAGACAAATTTTGTCTATTTTTTTCTTCAAGGTTTTCCACATAAATTTGTAGCGCGCTTAAAAAATGGCATAAGACTAATTTTCGTTGGTGTCAAAATTTTCATCAGTAATAAATAACGGGAGACATTCAGCCGGTGCCCCAACTCCTTAGCACGGTGTGACGGCCGTTCCGGTTGCGCTACTCTTAGTACCTAGGGTCTCATAGTAATTGCGCGAAATGCACCGCGCTTTCTGTGGGGTACATGCGCCGGAAACGACTGACGGGATGCACCGAGTGTGGGGGAGCGCTGCTGGTGAGCAGTAAAACCTGGGTGGCCGAGAATGATTTCTGCCAGTGTGGCCTTATAAAATATCGGCTCTGTATCTGTGGACTTAAATTTGAGTTGTTTTTTTTTTAAGATAAATATTGAAGAGTAGCGTTGCTTATAAATTTTGAAAAAATCGAGATTTCGTCGGGACGTATGCGGACTGAATCCTTTCCTAAACCATTTACCCGCCTCCCCAAAAAGGCACAGCCTGAGTGAGTCTCGTTCCGTTTTCCTCCTTAATATTAGGATTACTTTTTCGATTTTTCGTGGCCTGCTTAATGTTATATTGATCGACTGTAATTGATCCACTTATGTTTGTTTTGTATGTCCTTTTATAGCACTGCCAATGTTGAAAACCACTCTTAAAATTTGACGGAAACAAGACTTAATACTTATCACGAGTATCTTCTTACCCCGCTGAATGAACAAACACACATCTGAAGATTCCCCCATGCTCACCTGTGTTCGATATTTTCTTTGGGCTGGTGCGAGAACATATATTTGCCCTACTTCTGAATGCAAACCTAACAAACACCTTCGGAACTACCTAGTGAACGAACGAGATGCAATCGAGCTATGTCCTCTCAGGTTACAAAAATTGAAAGAGGATTACCTGGAAAATGGGGGTGAGGGAAAACAGACCGCGCTTCCTCTAGGCCGGACCTCTATTTCCTTCCATAATGGAAACTACACATGGAAGGTTATAACAATGATTTCAAAGAACTGAAAACAAAAGTGAAGCAGTGTTACAGTCAGCAAAACATTCCTCTTCGGACGGTACTTAGTTAATTGATTACATTTGAATCAAGTATTTTTTGTATAGAGAAATAATTATATAACAAAAAAAGTGTTGCAGAAATTTCCCTATTGCGTTCTGTTCGAATAAATTTTCCGTTTTCGAACAAACGAAGAAAGATTTTTCAACAATATCTTTATTTAGTTTCGCAAAATTCTTGAATTCGCAAACGGTTAGGGTAATTAATTGCACATAAGCTGTTCTCTGATATTTCTTGGAAGGCATATAATAATGTTAGCAAAAGCCGTACTCCAAATTGTGGACGTATCCTTGATTACGATGACGAATTTTGTGTCATGTTGATAAAAATATATTTTGACAGCATACGTAACAGAGACGTAACTAATTTATGTAATTTATTCAGGTATATTAAATAGTAGAATTTGACAGTTACAAATGGTGCATTAATTGACAATGTCCCTCCCTTTTTCACAAAAATTAGCGCGTTTATTTCCAGGAAATGTGTACGACGCGGTCGAATTCAAAATAAACATTCTATGTAATTATTTTTGCTACTTTCTTTTACATAAATAGTCAAGCTGAAGATGTAGTACTTTACAGAAAAAGTGGCAACAAGATTACGGGCGGAAGTACAAAAAAACAATTCCAATACAACTTTAAAAATATTGATTACACAGCAAAACTTTCTGCTGTTTTTAATGCATTCAACGTGCTTACGTTGTTTTTACTTTCTTAGAAACTTCATAAGAACAGAAAGTTATGTAATGCTGCAGAGTAAAGCACAGAAAAACTGGTATTTCGGGCCCTGGTACAGAAAAAGTGGTTTAATCCAGTTCTTAAATTTAGGGGGGGAAATCCTCTAACACGTGGTATTGCCAGAATCCGTTTCGTGGGTCCTTGATTTCGAAAAATGGATTCACGGCAAAACGTCCGTCCGTCAGTGAACAACGCTAGCGGCTAAAACGTTCAGACGATTTTTTCCAAAATTAATATTCTCCAATCGATCTGGCTGGTGTCGTGGTCCCTCGAATTTAAAACCGATATTTTTTATCTCAGTGTGTTTTCTGCCGGCAGCACGCATCAACTGCTGCTTAATATTTCAAATGCTTTCGTCATGTAGAGTCGTTACTTCACAAATCCTGTGTAGGTAATATAAAATGAGAAGTACAAAGAGAAAATGTACAAACCCGACCTTTCTTTTCTGTGCTCACTTCATGAATTTATTACAATAGTTCGCACTTCTGCGTCACTTGCTCATGTGAATCGCGCTGCCGCTCTTTTTAAATTTCCATCTCTTGCTTTAATCACCGTAGATTTTTTCTGAATTGTAAGACAGAATTATTTTTAATTTTATGATAATGGTCGTGGAACTGTTTTCTTTCACGGCTTGGTACATCTAGTAATCATGTACCTACCTTGCAATATTCTTCTTCATTCTTCGAATCATATGAAATTAAAGAAACAGTTAAAAAACCTGTTGACTGTGACGACTGTTGCAGATAAGTACAAATTCATGGGTTCCATTTATATACTGAATGAAGCGCAAATAAATCGTACTGATTTCAGTGGACAACATAATAAAATTACTTACCACCATTTCCCAGAGCTTTGCCTGAACTGCGAACTCCTTTTGAGATTTTCTGGCTAGAATTTAAAGTACTGTGTGTAGAATTTTTTCACATTTTCATTTTGTGTAATTAGATACAGATCTGTCAGTGTTTTGGTGTACTTTTTCACATGAAAAAAGTGTAATTTCTCGTGCAACTGGTAATTGCACAAAATCCTAGAGTGAAACTTATTCTGAGACTACTCACCTCTGTGGTAGTTTTTACTTATTTCTACGACTATGTCTCTATGTCGAGTAATGTAATGTCCGTAATGTTTGACGTTGTGATGTTATGCTTTGCTTCCCAGTCACGAAACGACTTCTGACGTTGCCTCAAATCTCAAAGACGTAATTGAAAGATTTTACCCATGTGCAGTTTTTAACAATGCCACTTTGCTAAATACTGCGATATATCTGCTTGCCAAAGTATGCACACAGAGCAGAAACGTTGAAGCCCGTAAAAGAATAAACTAAAAAATATTTTCTAAAAAATCTCTAAAACTTTCAATATCCTGTTCTTGACAACCTTTTTCTGTGGCACCTTTTTCAATACTTTATTCACCAGTGCCATGGCTCCAAGCGATGAGTTTGTTTACGGTAGTGGGGTGCGAGGACGAATAGAGTTATGAATGCAGATCTTCCTGTTCTGGAGAAGATTTTGAACGGATCTCGACAAGGGCGGCAGTTCATCGAGGGGCACGTCTTGAACTTCGGTAAAGGTATCTTATAACTACGTGTGATTCTTGACCTTGTTTTCAAGGTGTTCCCATCGACTGCGTTTGCAGATCGTCGCTGGATCACGGGAGGAATATTGCAAAACATTGACACGCATGAGTGTGAATCAAGTGTTTAATTAATACATTTTTTCTGCCTCGGATTTTCCTTAATGAAAGGAGAGAAGAGCAAAAGTTCATTACAAAATGGTTTAGTTTTGTCACACGCTGCCTTGCCAGTGACGGGGATTTCTACAAAAGCTGAAGATAGCTGGCTTGCCTTCTTCTGAAACTGATCCGCAGGTACAATAAAATCGAACCATCACAGTACCGAGCCTCTAGTATTATTTTCTAGACAATGGACTCAGGGTAGTTCTATCCAATACTTGTGGAAATGCACCGGACGCTTCAAACGCTAGACCTCACGTGCGAAGCTTCTCTCGCAGATATTTCGCTTCTGGAAAGGGTTAATTATTCGAATGCCTTTAACAGGGCGTGGCCTCTAGGTAGTCAAAAGATTCCAGCCCTCCTTTCCATTAATTGAACAAAAACAAAAAAACAACTAAACAGGACAGTTTTCCACGCATCATTTCTAAATATGTAGTTTTTGAAAATTCATGGATTTCAACGAAACTCAGACCCACGCCATTCTTTTAAGCATCCCTTCTATCAGTGGAAAAAAATTAAATAAAAAAATTGGAGTGATTTTTGAGAAAATATTTCTTTTCGAGAATTTGTATAAATCTCAAGCGCAAATCACGCGCGAACTACTCATTTTTTTCAAAGAATTGTTGAATTGACTTATTTTAGAGAGCTGATTTTTTTACAACAGACTTTCTCTAAGGCGAAATATCTATATCTTCAATTTTGTAGTTTTGAAATAATATTTTTTTCCATTTTTGAAAAATCGGAAAGTTTGCCGAAAGTAGAACTAGAAACATAGTTTTTACAGCCCTTGGATACATATGAATATAAAATTTAAAGGAAAAAATTGAACGGTTTTTGAGAAAAAATTGTTTTCAAAAATTTTTAATTGCCTATTTTTCACGCAAGATTGCACAAAAACTAGTCATATTTTCGAAAAATTGTAGATGATGTTATTTCAAGCTCAGTCTTTTAAAACAGATTTCATTAAGAAAACAATATATATATCTTCAAAATTATAGTTGTAACCCCAAGTAACCCCAGGACGCCCCAAAAAATTGCACGTTTACAACTTTCGAAAAATCATGGATTTCAACAAATATGAGACCTACTCTCAAAAATCAAAATATCCGGTTGAAATTCCTAAAGCCTTGAGTCCGTTCAGATCGATTGGAGAATATCAATTTCGGAGGAAATCGGCTGAACAGTTTATGCGCTAGCGTTGACCACAGACGGACGGACGGGCAGAGGGAGGGGCAGACACAGACAGTCAGACAGACAGACGGACAGGCGTTTTGCCGTCAGCAGTGGCGGATGCTCCTTAAGGGCTGAAGGGCGGCACCCTCCCCAGAATAACCCACTTCGGGAAAAGTTGCAGAAAGTATTAAACTTGCTATAAATGGACTCGTTTAATTTGTATACACACCAGCGCAATTTTTGAAGATGGAATTAATTTTCAAGCGCCCGCTTAAGCGAAAGATAAATATTTTTAGAATGGACCGCATCGTGGACTATGGGTTGTCCGTCCATAGTGGTGTTTGCGAGGCGATGGAAGAGTGGGGGTACTGTGAGTTCGATGGGGTCAGCGGGCTGCTATTAATGTTTTGAGTCCGTGCCTATTAACTATGATAGTACAGAACCTTTCATCTGATTTCATAAATTACTGTTCTGTTTGCTCCAAATATTTTTGGCGTATGTGAATTTGGAAGGAAAATAAGAGTTTAACCCATATGTGAATTGGAGACCGATCCAGGGAAGTGCATATGTAAATTGGAGACCAACTCCCTCATCCCCTTCGAGTTAAAAGTGTAAAGTAACACTTTTTATTCTAAGAATATTTTCATAGCTATTATTTTTAAAACACAAATCCGTTCTCAATTTTCCCGACTTTGGACTGGCATACTTCTTTTATACGGATATATGGTTTGGTTAAATTTGGTTTTCATTCAATTGAATCATTCGTTGATTGAATAAATCCTACATACCTTTCCATTTTCATATAATTTTTTTTAGCTAATATTTTACAATGCTTATTTTTAATAAGGCACGAGGAAAAACTTGATAGCAACACGGAGGCGACGGCCCCTTAACGTGCCTACCTGCTCAATCAGTACTTTTCCTTACCTGGATTAGTTTTTTCCCCCATTTACATATAGAATTAGAAAGTAAATTTCGAGGGAAAATATGAAGATATTAATTGCTTCCCAACGGCCTTTTTTTAATATAATGTCGTCAGCACAATTTAAGGGTTTCTCAGACAAAACATTAGTCCAAATTTGAGAAAAATGAGTTAGTGATCTTCAACAGTGAACGTTAATGCATAAGAGGAATACATCAACTGTACGAACACGTACATACACGTAAAATAAGGCAAATTCAATTCAATTCAATTCAATCAACTCGGGATCAAGTCCATTATTCCCAAAGAAAACGAGCGAAGAAAAATAGGTGATTCTGGAAGAACATTATATGTTCTAAGTGTTTCCGGTAAAAACAGCGTTAATCAGGTACAAATGAAGATATCGGCAGTGGGCGTGTTGAATGATCAGCTTCCAGCAGTTCTTTCCAGAATTTTAATTGCGTGTATTGCCGGTTATAGCTAAACTAGAATATTGAATTGGAGGTTCAATTTTTTTCATTTATTACAAGAAAAACAATGCTATATGATAAATAAACGCAATTTTATTTTCGCAAGTGCAATAACACAAGTCAATTTATCTTTTTCCTGTAACTTGTGAAATATGTTGCTTAATTTACTCACAACTGTAATTTATGTTTCATGATGTGTACAAATTCCTGTACAGTATAAAATTCTATGTATATATACTATAAGAATACATTGAACTCAATTGTAGAGGTACCATTTACAGTAACATTTTTAAATTTTTGAACATTAAAAATCTTTTTCTAGTCTCTTGGGCATCATTTCGTTCAAAATGTTTCAACAGAAGGGTGAGGATAGAAGGCAGGATAGAAGTATCAATGTTTTATCACGTAAGTGTTTCATTAATGTAGTTATTATTTTTCAATCTAATTAATTGAAAGAAAAGAATCAGATGGAAAAATAAAAACAACATTAAAGAAATTGATTATAACAGATTGTTGGGTCACATGTGAAATGTACGTAAGCTTTACAATTAATCATATAATATATATGCTTTCTTAACACAACCACCTTTTCCTTTAATTCCTTATATTATACCTGTCATAGCCCTGACAGTCTGTTTATGTTTGAAGTAATAACCAGTCTCTTTTTTGTGAGAAACAAACTACAGTACAGAGTGCAATTATTGCCATCCATTTATAATACTGCAATTATTTTCTAGCTTATTTCCGTTAGATCGAGAAAAATATTTATCAACGTCGTTTCTTAGTTTAACTCGCATACAAAGAGTACTGTGAGGTAAAAAGAGAAATTAACGACTGAAACTAACTGATTTAAGATTCTTCAGTGACGTTATGTTAGTGCACTAAAAGAACGACCTCAAATGACTGTAGTCACATGTCATCTGGTTAAATGACACTGGCCGTCAATCGGTTTTTCGGCATCAAGGACCCACAAAACAGTGATTCTGGCTACACCACATGTTAGAGGAAGTTATTTATTGTATACGGCAACAAGATTTATCCATCTTTTCGTTACCAGGGCCCGGAAATAAGTTTCTCGTCCGAGTTTTCTCTCTTACCCCGAGTCTCCTTTATCCCAGGGATGGATAATAAATGAAAAGCACGGCCCAGGCCTGGGAACACCTCAGGCAAAAGTCGGGTTAATCTGACCCTAAAATACCCAATATATACATACATATAATTATTGTTTCAGACTCGCAAATATTTTCACGCATTGATTAAACAAATATACCATGCAATATAACATGCTGATCATCTAGTAGCATATTTAATAATTCCCTTTCATATTTATAAATTTAACTTTTTTTTAAAAATTTATTGAGGCCCCTATTATATTTTATTACTACCATCTAGGGGATCCTCTGAGGTTGGGCTCTAGGGATTTGCCTGGACGGAAGTCCACCCTTGATCCTCAAATAGATTCCTGGCCGGATGTGAGGATAATGGGAATCGCCCTCCACTGCATCCCGCCGTCAGGTTTCCCTCGCTTCGCAGTTGATCTCCTTTCGCTTTTGGCTACCTCAGAATGCATAGCCCGATTGCATCCCAGCCAGTGTTTTTGGACGGGAAAAGAGGAAACAAGTTAGTTACGTTTCCATTGAGTACCGCAAAAATATGTTCTCGCACCAGCCGAGAGGAAATCTCGAATATATAAATATTAATATGATTAGCGGGCACTGACGTTTATATTTTTGCACATAAACGACGTGAACAAACAAAAAGAAATATAAAACACTTTATTAATTATTTTCTTCTGTGTTATTTTTTCGAAAAAAGTACCTCGTAATATTTTTACCTCTTAATATTATTATAAGTTTTTTAGCCTTTGGGAGTCTACCTTTGTTTTGCGACCATTGCGCGGAAACCGGTCGCGCCGCTCTAAATGGGGTGCTGATGATATCTTAGTCGATGACGAAGGATAAAGTGCTCGTAATTCATCATACGCCTTCCGCCGGCTCTAGAAACTACAAATGACCTTGCCCAATATTTTCTTGCATCTGTACTGCTGGTGAACACCTCCATCAGAAAACCCGCGGTTCCGAAAATCGGCGTTCGTGTATGAACGATTGCCTAGTTTTTCAGAGGGTGTCTCGGAAATTGCATTCCCAGCCATCACGCAGACAACTTTTATCGAAGGATCTCACAAGTTTAATTTCTATTACGATGTTAGGGGCAATTGGCAACGTTAGAATACCGAATTCGTTCCAGTGCAGAGCTCCGCGCCGGTGGTTGCCTCATCGGATCCACGAGCGGCAGGGTACGCGCCAATCGGCACAGCAGAGCGAGCGCGAGGCGCTATGGGCGCGACGCGGTACGGCGGCGGCGGCGGCGGCGGTGGTGGCGGCTCGGCCCTCGAAATCGATTTATGGCGGCCGCCCCCGTCCTCGCTGCACCGCGACGC